CCGAATTCAATTATTTCGCTAAATTTAACTACTATTAAGCGACCGAATTCAATTATGTCGCTAATTTTAACTAATATTTAGCGACCGAATTAAATTTCGTCTCTAAAAAAATCAAAATTTATAATTTAGCAACTGACATAGCGACCGAATTTAATTTCGTCGCTAAAAAAAATCAAAATTTATAATTTAGCAACTGACATAGCGACCGAATTTAATTCCGTCGCTAAAAAATCAAAATTTCTTATTTAGCGACCGAAATAGCAACCAATTTTCTAGCGACGACTTATTTTGGTCTCTAAATCGGTCGCTATTTTGATTTTTCATAATCGGTCGCTAAATCAGTCGCTAAATAGCGATTGATAAATTTCGGTCGCTAATTTTGGTTGCTATTTTGCAATTTTTTAGTAGTGTACTTAGTAAAAGTTACATTGGTATTATTATAACCCTCCTCTATATATATATATTAGAATATATATATATTTAAAATTTAATTAATCTTTTTTAATATATGATTGTCAATTTTCGTAAAAAATTCTTACATTTTTGACAAATATAAATTTGTCATAAATATTTCATCAGTGATATAACTTTTCCTACGAATTTTTTTCATCGAAAATATAAATTTTTCGATAGATAAATTACCGATCCGTCGGAAATATAAATTTTTCGACAGATTTGTATCCATCAGAAATTATCCGTCAAAAATATAAATTTTCTGACAGATTTGTATCTGTTAAAAATTATCGTCGAATATATCCGTCGAAAATATAAATTTTTCAACAAATTTGTATTCGGCAGAAATTATTTTCTGGCAATATAACTTTTCCTATGATTTTTTTTTCGTCAGAAATATAAATTTTTTGACATATTTGTATCCGTCGGTAATTTACATTTTTCTTGTAATGTTTTTGGCAATCACTCATCTTTCATTAATTGGATTATATTTCTACATAATTTGTTACAAATTTGTTATTAATCCAAGATTAACCCTTGGTTTGACATTTAACCAAGAATATGCATACGAAAATTAGCTAACATGTAAATCTTTTGCCCTGAAAATTTGTCGAAAAGCTAATAACGCTCTACTACCGACATGGAATTTCTACACGCCAAAATAGGTATGGCATCTCAAATGGGACTCTTTAAGTTTCTGTTAACATTTTGTATCCTACAAATAACCTTTGATTGAGGAAAATAAATTAGTCCATTGTCAAGTTTTAGGAGATAAAAGTTTTTATTGTTACATGGGAGTCAAATAAGATTAATTTGTTGACAATGTGAATGGAAGTAGAATTCAAGAGAACGTATTAATGTATAGCATAAAAGACTAACTTGAAATATAAGAAGAAAACAAAATAGTGAATTTTATTTTACTCAAAGAATAGGAATGAGATTGAAGAATGTTAATATTATAAATGACACTCTTGGGACTCTGCCATCTAGTTGTTTATATTTTATAATAAATCAACATATTTTCATAGAGTGATTCATACTACTTTCTCTTTGATGTTGTAATTGTTTGACGCAACAACCAATTGTGTTTGAAGATATGGATGAATGGTTGTTACTTATTTGGTATACTCAATCTAAAACTCTATCATATAAGGGAAGATATCACATCTAGAAGGACTTGTACTCTTGAAGAAAGAGTATACATTTCCTAGATACAATTTACTTTCTGATTGTAGTGTTGTATTACTTAATTTAAAGGATTTGCACTTGTTCTAGCTATTGGTTGCATAACCTTTAGTGTTGTTATACCAACTCATAGGTTTGTCGATATCAGGGTTTTAAATTGTGGCCGCAATATTGTTGTTGTGGTGCTCACTACAATCGTAATGGCCCGCAGTTGTAGTATGATTTTAAATCACTTAAAATATGCAATTCAACTACAAAATAGTTGTAATACAACCATAATAGATCCATAACATCATTTTATTCTATTTCTTTTGTCAAAATACATACATATTCAAGTCTTAAAATTCTATTCTAATAAATATGGTCACATGAGATATTCATGAAAGAAGAAAGATAACTAATGACAGTTGGTTGAAATGTATAGCCGATCCAACATATTTTGAGGCCTAAAATGAGTTTTGAAGTTGAGTCTTTTTAAAGATGAGAGAGAATAGCAAGAAAATCAACAATCACTCATAAAAAAAGAACTTTCAACAAAAAATTATAATATTATAATCAAACCCTGGCCCTTACAATGTTGGACTTAGATAATGACTAACAAACCAAAGTTAGTATTGATACAACTGATTCATTAAGTTCTATAAGTAAAAAAAAAAATATTTTAGGGGCCTAAAGCTAAGGATTGGGCAGCCTTATGCTAAAGTCCACCTTGTTGAAATGTTGGGATGTGTATGATGTATTTTAATAAAGAGAGAAAAAGATTTTGAGTAAAAAAATAAAGAAAAAGAAATTTAATTGTTTATTTATATTCTTGCAAATATATAATAATTTCACACTACAAAAATCACAATCCACATCGTAGTAGACATAATAGCCGTAACTGCAGTATACTAGCCATAATTGTGACTGCAACCTCGATGACAACCGCAATTTAGAATCATGATCGATATTGCTAGAAAATTAGTCTTATTAAGTAGTTACATCGACCATTAAAATTACTACTATTTTTTTTCTTAACCATAAAATAAGATTTTACAGAGAATAATAAAGTTCCATTAGTGATTTAGTGAAAGTTAAAAAGTAATTTTAGTGACCATTTAAATGAGTGATAGTATTATCATTATCGTTCTTTTGGTGACCATTTAAATGACAACATATTTTTATTTTTTAGTGGCCATAAAATGGATTTTTATCATCACTTATTATATTAATTATCACTAATATTTTTTAGTGACCTCATATATGCTGGCCAAAATTTTATTGTTACTAAATATTTACTAACTATTTGTATTGAGTTGATTGATTAATTTGGGGTAATTTTTAAAACTATTTACGTAAATGAGATTGTTTTAAAACTATTTACACCTTTAGGGTATTTTACTATGGTGTCGCTATGGGTCATAGCGACACCAGTGACACGTGTATTTTTTTAAATTCTAAGAAGTCATGAACCCCATATTATCAATGTCGCTACAGTCTATGACGACACAAAACGGCTTCAATGAAGTCGCTATAGCCTACAGCGCCACCAATTAAATAATTTTTTATAATATAACTTACTGAAAAATAAAGTATATAATTTTTTTTAACAAAAATAACATAAAAAAAACTAAAAATATTTATAATATACATGTAATAAAATTGAAATTTCATAAAAATTAAAATTTCACAGAAGTATAAAATTAAAATTTCATAAAAATTGATAGGGAATAAAATAAAATAAAATTAAAAAATCAAGATGTCGTTATGGCCTATAGCGACATAGTGTTGCTATATGGCTTACAGCGTCACATTTTAAATAATTTATTATAAATTAATTACTGAAATTTTAAGTATATAATATTTTTTAACAAATAAAAATAATTTAAAATTTTGTAGTGTATAATATAATAAATTAGAAAAAAATAAAATATTTATAGCGGCACAATTTATTTATAAAAAAATAGCATAAAAAATAAAATTAAAAAAATATTTTATTTAAAAAAATGAAGCTAAGAATATTAAAAAATATAAATGGAATAAAACAGAAGTATAAAATTTTAATTTGAAAAAAATTGATAATATAAATGTGAATAAAATAAATAAATAAATAAATCATGAGGTTGCTATAGCTTATAGCGACACAATGTCACTATAGCTCATAGCGCCTCCTTTGATAAATATTTAAAATATATAAAATAAAAATAAAAAAATAAAAAAAAAATGATTAAAAAAATATTTAAAAAATATAAATTAAAATTAATAAATTAAATGAAAGAATAAAATAAAAAAATGAATAAAACAGAATTATAAAATTAAAATTTAAAATAAATTGATAATATAAAATAAAATAATAAATTAAGAAAATAACAAAATAATTTTAAAAAATAAAAGGAAAAATGGAAGTCACTATAACCTAGGTCATAGCGCGCCTCCTTTGCAATGGGACTGTCGAACAGATTCTCTATGAAATCTTGTTGATTAACAAGTGGTGTAGGCTTCTTGAAGAGGAGACCCTTTTGGATATAATGGGCAGACAACATAGCAACATCCCAAGGTGTTAAATTGCATATTTGGTTTGGCTCTTGGATGGGACTATGTGCCTTCACGAAACATTCTGAAACACGTTGAACGCTTGGGCTACTCATTCTTTTTGCAGCTATAGGGCTGATTGTCCAAATAAAAATTTTTATATTTAATTTATCAATTTTTTTACAATTATTTTTTATTAAGTTTTGTTTATATTTTTTTCCTTCACTTAATTAAAATAAAAAATAATTACATAAATAAATATTTTTAATTAAATTTAAAAACAAATATGTTAAAAATAAAATATAAATTAATAAACAAGGTCGCTATAGCCCATAACGATATTGTGTCGCTATGGCCCATAGCACTTTTAGATAAAATATTTTTTTAATAATAAAAAAATATATTAATTATATTTTTAAAATGGGAATGAAGTCCATAACGACTTTACAAAAATTGCTATAGCCTATAACGATTTTTAGTGGCTAAATTTTAGCCGTTTGTAATTACCAAAAAAAAAAAGTATACGTGTCATTGGTGTCGCTATGGCCTATAGCGACACCATAATAAAATGTTCCAAAGGTGTAAATAGTTTCAAATCAATCTCATTTACGTAAATAATTTTAAAAATTACCCCAAATTGGTCTCAGCCTTTATATTGCCATTAAAAACTATAATAGTTGCCGCAAAAAGTGATTTTTTTGGTGTAGCATTATGTTTCAAGCCATGTTATTCTATTCAACCTCTTAAAAAGAAAAGTACTTAAATAGCAATACTTAATAACTATTTTAACAAAAAAATGGAGTTGATCTCTATGTGTCTTGCTTTTATTATTTCACGTATTGCTCGACGTAAAACGTAAAACAATGTCTTGCATTATATAGATAAATTCATAACTCCAATTTGCATGTCGATGCAAGTATATTGACATCATAGAAGGATTGTTCTGAAATGTAAAGATAAGAATTCGGAAAATTAAAAGGCTTAACATAGATAATTATCCCAGAAACTTTGCCAGATAACGCCTCGAGAAACAAACATATTATGTGTATTTTTTTTATGCCAAACGTATTCTGCATTAACGTCATGAACTGTTAAATTTTGCTATCTTCAACCGGGAACCACATTCACATAAATTGATAGGATTATCTAGTGATATGAGCAATGAAAGATTTCATTTCCACGTGAGAAATTCCACCTTCATCCATGGATCTGTGAATGGCATTTTTAAGCCTCAACGCTCTCTCTCGCATCTCATCACTTTCCTTTGTTTCCATTAACTTTCTGACAGCATTCTCAACAACCAAAGCACTAACCAACACGTTCCTTTGTGCCCAATCCTTCACAACCAAACCAACCTTGAGCACCTCAGTCATGAAAACGGTGTTTCTTGGCTGGTCAGAGTGCATAGGCCATGCTGCTATTGGCACTCCCATTGTTATGCTCTCTAAGCATGAGTTCCATCCACAATGACTCATAAACCCTCCTGTTGAAGTGTGGCTCAGAATTTCCAATTGAGGTGCCCAATCTGTCACAACAAGTCCTATCCCTTTAACTCTCTCCTTAAACCTATTTGGAAGATCATGCCTTTTTTCTTCATTTGCATCAAAGATGTCTCCTTTATCAGCATCTCTTAGCACCCAGATGAACTTCCACTTGCTTTGTTCCAACCCAATTGCAATTTGTTCTATTTGTTCCTCTGTCAAAGTAGTTGTAGTCCCAAAAGACACATATATGACTGAGTTTGGCTCTTGTTTATCAAGCCACTCCATGCATGAGTGTCTTCCTTTCGAATCTTTCTTCTCAATGGCTAAAGGGTTGAATGGCCCTAGTGCCCAAACCTTCTTGCCACCACTAATACGCTCCAACAACTCAATGTAAGAACCTTCAATCGCCCTACTTGTGTTGTAGATGTTGCCATCATTGAATTTGAGGAATCCAAATTCTGAAGTAAGGAAGTCCATGAATTCAATTGGGAAGCATCCTTCAAGAGAAGGGTTTTCTGGGACATGCAAGCCTTCAAATGAAGGCTTTCCCATTTCCTCCCAAAAGTAAATGAAGTTGGCAAAGGCACATGTGCTGTGAAAAGTGTAATTCTCAATATTTGGCATGTTTGTGGCATCTTGTGCCACTGATGCCATGAGGGAGTCATGGATGACTATGACCCTTTTGGATTGAAATGAGAGGGATTCAAGAAGTTTCCTCACAGGCTCCCGAAGATGTAAAGAGGCCTCAACGGAAGGATGTAGATGAGATGGGAAATTGGTTTCTGTATTGTTGGGGTTGGGAGGAGGGGAAACAAATGGAACTTCAAAGTCATGGAATTGAATGTTTGAAATAGAGTTGTTGTCTCGAAATGTGGCCTGACGAATGTGTGTGACAGTGCCAACATAATGAACTGGTATGTTGTGTGACAAGATTAGGCGTGAGAGGTGCATAAGTTGATTGAGATGGCCTTGTGCGGGAAAAGGTATCATAACCACCACCACTTGGGTTTGATGCTCAAGGGTGTTGTAACTTTGGCTTTTGCCATTCGAAGCCATTAGGAAACTTAGGAAGCTAGAAGCTAGGATTGAACTTTGGCACAAGATTTGGCAAGTATTTGTGCCTTGGGTATGATGCTTTACATTGAATGTCAAGTATTTATAGAACCTAATATCAGGAAGAGAAATGTCACTAATTAGGGCTCTCACTAACAGTAATTACTAATTAGAAACCTCCCTGATTTTCATTCTATTTAATGACTTCCATATTATTTTATAATTTTAATTAATAAAAATAAATATGGTTTAAAAGAAATATGTTGAAGAGTGTTTTTATCACTGTTGGATTAGAAATTTTCTAGATAAAAAATTAATTATTTGGTTGAAAGATTTGTCTTATAATCGAGAAGTTGATCTAGTGCTCCCATAATTATTTTTTGTCATTATCCAAATAATGTTTAACTAACATAGACTTGTGCGATGTGCAGATAAAAGATAAATTATTTAAGTTAAAAATTATTATTTTTGTTAATTAATACATAAATTATATATATAATTTTTTTAATTATGCAATATAAGTTTGTTATTAATTTTTTACAACAAAGAATTTTATTATTTTTTATAATAATAAAAATATTATTATAAATATTTTTGATATTTATATTTATATCTTATTTCATCCTTTATTTTTTTTGTTAGATTCAAATTCAAAAATATAAGATTCAATTAAATAATCTTTTAAAAAGTTCATAACTAAAGATAATATATCCAAATAAATATTTTTTTATAACTAAATTATAAAACAATTTATTTCAATATTTTATCAAATTAATAAATTGATAATAAAAAATATACATATATTTATTATTTTCATATATGTAATTTCTCATATACAAATTCAATTGTTGAGAGGTTTGCCAAAAAAAAAATTATTGTTGTTTAAAATTAATATTCATCAAAATTTTATTATTTTCTTATTAATGAACATAAATCCCAATTAATAATTATTATTAGATTTTGAAAAAAGCAATTTTTTTTAATAATGATTTATATTTAACATTAATATTAATATTAATCACTATAATATTTATTTTTTGAAATGGAGAATTTAATCAAATTAAATTTCTTAAATAATAACGATTGAAAAGGTAGTACCTTTCATTTTTGACAAAGATTATCAAGTGAGATGAAAATTAAACAAAGAGGGTAGGAAATAAATTAGATAAAATTTAAATATGTAATATAGAGGGTTGAGGAGAAAAAAAAAGTAGTACCTTTCATTTCTGACAAGGATTTTACCTTCCTTTTATTTCTGACAAAGATTATCATGTGAGATGAAAATGAAACAAAGAGAATAGGAAATAAATTAGATAAAATGTAAATGTGTAATGTAAATGTGTAATGTAGAAGGTTGAGGAGGAAAAAAAAAAGAAGAGGGAAAAAAGTAGTACTCTTTTTGATGATGATGATGATGAAATAAAAATTAGACATTAATGAAATGAGAGGAGAGAAAAAAAAGGAAGAGAGAAAAAATTGTACCTTTTTTACGATGATGATGAAATAAAAGTTAGACAATAAATAAATGAGAGTTAGATTAAATAGAATACAAAAAAATGTAATATATAAAAAGTAAAGGAAAAATATATATGATAGAAGATAAATGTTTAAAAAATTAGTTTAGAGAATTTACTACATAAACAAATATACTAACATGACAACATTTAAAATTAGTTTTATAATAACGTATAAAGTGTAGAGAAATGAGAGCTAGATTAAATAGAATATAGATAAATGTAATATATAAAAAAATAGAGGAAAAATATGATAGAAGATAGATGTTTAAAGAATTAATTTAGAGAATTTGTCATATAAACAATTATGTTGGCATAACAACATATAAAATTAGTTTTATAATAACGTGTTGACGTAATAGAGTATAACTTAACTTTTATATTATAAAATGGATTCTCAGTATTTCACGCTTCCATCTCACCTCTTCGTTCTGCTGCTGTGAGTTCTCTTGGTACATTCATAATGTTAATTTCGTCACCTCATTAATTATACAAACGATATATGGGCAATTGTTGATACTGAAATCTTACAACTATGGATCTCGAGTTAGGTTCGGTTCCGTGAAATAATACTGCTCATGTAGTAGGGCACTAGAGTTGGCAAGTTGTAGCCTTCGCTGTTGCTTAGGTTGGTACAAGGTAATTAAGTGTCTTCTAGTTATGCATTCTAAAATTAAGATAATGAAAACTGAATCACTTGGGTTGTAATTTATTACGTGGTTGGAATATTAGACTTTTTAATTTAAGTGGTGTCATTCGATGAATTATATACTGATCTGAATTGATATTTAAATTTATTGTTAATCTAACAAGCTAAAAAAGATTATCCTGAATTCATGGCTCAATAAGGTCAAATAGACTGTTTAATTGTGTTATAGAAAGTCTTATAGTTGAAATATATGACAATGCATATAATTGTTGTATCGTGCATATAATGTGTTATTTCATTCGTATTGTTCATCTGCGGTGATGATCTAAGATGAAATCTATTAATGTATTAAAAATTAAGTTGTTAATGTTGTGTTGTTTAAGTTGACTTTATGTTGTAGTCAATCAAGTTGTTAAATTGATAAGGTTGAAAGCGTTAAAAGGTTATGCCATAAAATATGAGATGTCATGTTATACTGTGTTGCTCATATTTCATTTGTTGTATATGTTGATTTTTTTGTACTCTAACTTATCCATATGTATTTTCATGTGGTTGAACTATAATGATCATACTTGATATAAAAATAAAATAAAGATAGGTATAAGGTGCTCCATATTGAATGCCATCTAATAATGAAGTGTTGCCTTTTAATGTGATTTGCTTCATATCAGATATATCTATTATATTAATCGTTAAATATCCATTTACTGCTTTATGTTATTGTTAAGGGATTGTTTATTTTATTTCCACTATTAGTAATTGTGTCAATTTTTATTAGAAATTTTTTTTTGTATTAAATTATTTTTATCGTCGTAACAAAACACTAATTAATAATTTCTTTTATTTTAATTAGTGTCCTCACATTATTTGTTAACAGTATTCAAAAACTATAAAAGACGGCCACAGTTGATGAATTTAAAGGGCGGTCACTATCTCATTCAAAGGGCGGCACAAGGCATACCATTTAGAAATTTTGCTGTCTGAAGCCAACATTGTTTTATTTTTACGGTTTAATATTTTTTCCTTTATAACATTTATTTTAGTTTTTTATCATTTTAAAATTATTATTTTTAACTTTTTTAAAATAGCCTCTGTAAAATTTTTTTATTTTAATTTTGTTATTTTCACAAGATATTTAAATCTAGTATTTTGTTTTACTATTATCTTTTTAATTTTTTAAGGATTTCATCTATGCGATGCGACATGACATTCACGACAATATGGTGTGTTTTGGGGACTTTCACCAAGTCATCGATGAAATAAATGTTAGAGGGTAAAAAGTAGTGAAAAAGAAATATACCTGATGTTCTCATATTTTCTTGTTTATCCACGATAAGGGTCAAGAAAACGAAAGCGCTTTCGTTCGAAGGTAATAGTTGGATCCAATTAGAAAATTTTGGTTTGGAAGTTATGGTCTAATCAAATCAATTACCCCATTTGTATTCATCTTTTAATTGTTATTTATTTTTGGAATTCTAGTGTAACAAAATATTAAATAAACACAATTCTATTATGCCATATTATCAAGTCACTAGTATTGAAAAGTCTTTTACACGGTTTAATAAAATATATTATACAAAGGTAAATAACCAATATAGATGTTGGTGATGTAGAATATAATGTTTTTCTACATTGATTGTTTTAACGGAAGAAGTGTTAATAAAATGTCAATATAGAAGTGTTATAAAAAATACAACAAAAAAATCCTCCCCCACCCCACCTCCTTTTTTCCAACGTTTCGCCGCCTCCTAAATCACACCACAACCCTCCACTATGCACCTCTCCCCATGCTTCATCTTTGTTTTCCACTAAAAATGAAACATCTCAATTTTTTAAAAATAAAATAAATAAAATTTAATAAAAAAATAGATTATAAACTTAATTAATTAATTAAATTTATAATATAAATAATATTTTTTATAAAATAAGAAGGGGTTAGTAAAGAAAGGAGTTTGAATTGGACTTTGAGTCCAACCTGAAGGTTTTTAAAAATAAAACCAAGGGTTACATTTTCATTACGTATCATTTTTAAAATGTAGAGGAAAACCTAGTTAGAGGAGACTACTTGATGGAAGCTATGAGGAGGAAGAAGCTTGATTCCTTCTCCAATGGCTCCACAAATCCAAGTGGCTTTGCTTGAGGCTCCTTGTTGCACCTTGACCAAATGAGATGAAGGAAAATGTGGTTGGAATGTGAACGTGTTTGTTGGGAATTTCGTTTATGAATTCTTTTTACTTAAACTAGCACTTTTTCAATTTAGGTATGTATAATTAAGCCTTTTAAGAACGGAGATGAAAATAAGATAGAGCGATTAACAGGTACCAATTTCTAAATATTCATCAATGGTTATCAAACAATAACTTTCATACATGTAGATGTTCAAATAGATTGAGTGAATGATATATATATTGGCAATACAAATCATTATCCAATTCACATAATTGTCGAGTTACAATACATAAAATCTTGAGAAGAAAACAAACTACCAACCTAGGCTATACTACACTAATACAATCCTAGAAAACAAGAAAAATGTGGCCAAGAAGTCATACCTAGTGATCTCGTGCACGGAAGTCATATGCGCAGGTAGTGAGTGCTTATGAGAGTTTCAAGTACGATTTTTTGACCTCGTGTATGAGATTGCTTCTCATATTTATAGAAGTAATAGGAAGTAGTTATTTACATGAAGGATCGTCGTGGAGTGTATAATCGTTATCCACTACGTGACTTGCATGATTTCTTCATAACATGCGTTAACCTCTTGTAACCGCTTGCCCCACGTTTTCTTTGTTCGATCCTCGAAGGTGTTCTGTAGAGACGGCCTGGTACTTTTTATTTGGTAACTTCCTTGTTAGTTCGACATAACCTCTTTAACTGCTCATAACTGCTGGTAACT